ATCCCCCACGACCCCAGAATGTAGGCTGCCTGAGGGCAGGGACTAGGTCCTGTTCCCGCTGTTCACAGGCACCTAGAACAGTGCCTGGCACAGGGCAAGCGATCACGAACATCAGTTGAATGAATGAATGAACAAGTGAATATGTGCTACAGACAGGTGATGAGAAAGATAACGAGGGTGGGGGCTGCTTTAGAAAAGGGGTTCAGTGAAGGCCTTTCTGAGTGGTGAACATCTGAGTTGTAACACGGTGATAGCACAAGAGAAACACCACAGCGCAGCAATATGTACTCCTCCGAGGGCGTGCCAACAGTGGCTCAATGAGCCTCACTGGGCTCTGCAGGGGACTGGCCACCCCAAAAAGGAGATGGCACGGGTCATGCCAGGGGCACTGGGGCCTGCCCGTCGTATTGATTTTCCCAGAAGTCGGCAGGGTAGTACCGTGTTGTGAGACTGGACACACAACCAACACAGCAGCACTGGGCTGAATGCATTACAGCACAGTGACATTTAACCCTCACCACCACGTGAGGTGGGGTTTAATTCTCTTTTCACAGAGGCGGCCCTGAGAGGCAAGGTGGATTCCCCACAATCACCCAGCTAGGAACTGACCAAGTGGGGTTGGAACTCAGTGATGTCTCTCTCCCTCAGGCCCATCTCACGCCCCACTCTGTGAGTTTGCAGCGGGAATGTCCATGAGTGTGATGCTAAGTGACATGGGCTCCTGGACGGCGCGGGCTGTGCCTGACCATGTCTATGTCCCCTGCAGCTCTGAATTCAGAGGCCCCACCCAGTGGGTGCTTGGTCATTCTTGGCGCTTCACAGTGCAGTGTGGGCTCCTGAAGGGTAAGGCAGAGAAGGCTGATTCCCCCAAAACCTGCCCTCCGCTCCTCCCTGATTAGCTGACCTCTTTTTTAAACGGGGTACTCTGCTTTGGTCCTCCAGCCTGCTGCTGGAACACAGGTGTGATGACTAAATCTCTAGCAGCCAACCTGGAACATGAGGACAAGGGCCACTCCCCAGAGATGGTGAAACAGAGAACTGGAAGGAGCCTAGGACCCTGAAAACTTCACGAAGGGCCCAGGAATGCCAACCTTGGACTTCATTTAGATGAGAAATAAAGCTCAATCTTGCTTGTTTTTGTTTTTTATTTATTTCAGAGAGGAAGGAGGAGAGAGATAAAAACATCAATGATGAGAATCATTGATCGGCTGTCTCCTGCACGCCCCACACTGGGGATATGCCCTGACCGAGAATCAAATCATAACCTCCTGGTTCACAGGTCGATGCTCAACCACTGAGCCACGCCAGCTGGGCTCTATTTGGGGTTTTCGTGGCATATTCTATCAAACCTGATCAACGGCAAGGAAGGGTTGTGGAAGAGAACAATCTCGACCACAGTTTGAGAAGTGTAGGATTCCGCTTGACAGAATGAGACAGCAGGGGGCTCAGAAGCTCGTCCTACAGCCCAGGGAGGACGGGCTGGACAAGGAAGCTGAAGCCAGCAGCTGAGGGTCTGGGATGCGGGAGTACCTGGGATGACTGTTGCCAGGAGCCAGGAGGCTTTGAGTGGAAGTGGTCTGATAACACCAGCACTTTAGCAAAGTGAATGCGGCAGCCTTTCCCAGGCCAGCAGAACCAGGATAGCCTGGATGGATGAGAGCTGCGGAGTCAAATGTTTCCTGAGTGTCTAGTAGGTGCAGGCCTTGTGCTCCCGGCGGCACCGGACAGAATCCTGGAGCTGAGTCTGAAAGGTGTCAGAAGCGCACCAGGCACTCCTGTAGCCTTTACAGCAGTGCCTCCCATGTCTGCCTCCGCAGCCCCACACAAACTCAGATTCCCAGGCCCACCCAGAAGAGCAGGACCCACAGACAGGGGCGGGGATTCTGTATTTTTAGTAGCTGTCCCCAGGTGATTCTATGTACAGTCCATGGACATATTAAATAGGCTGGTACCTAAAACATAGGTTTGATGTTTATTTAAAAATAACATCCAAATAATATATTTCCATACTATTAGAAGCCAACAAACCAGTAGATTTTGAAAGACTTTCCATAATAGTCGAAACAACTAAGTAAATGTGTTGGTGTTTTGTTTTTTTAGCTATTTAATTAACCACAATATAATCTAAGGTCACTAATAACTAATAGATCTATGATCTATTTCTGCAATCATTTCAGCAAAAAAATACTTATGTGTCACTTGAATATAGCCTGAGAAGAGACCTCCAGGCATGAGCATGAGTTCTATGCTAGCTCACTGTAGCCCTGTTCTGCATCTTGCAGACATGTGGAGTCCCAGAGCCCAGCCTGAGGGTTTCCCAAGATGTTCTAACACACTTCTGGGAGTGAACTTACAAGAGAGAAGTGCTCCTTAAAGGGGAAACATGGTACAAAGGGAAACACACTGGTCTAAGACACAAGTCAGTAGCCCCCTTCTTTACCCCCCAATTGGCCTTGGGTAAGTTTCCTCACCTGTTGTGCTATATGCTCTTGAAGATCCCTTACAGCTCTGATGCAACCAGGCTGAGAATTTTTATAGTTTCCTTCTTCCTAATTAATATTGGAAAATGATTCTCAGTAAAAAATGCACTCCCATATACAAGGCATGATGTGTGGTACTGGGGATACAATATTTAAGAGAAATCAGGGTCCATGCCCTTAAGGAGTTTATGGTCTAGAAAGACAAATAATTCATTCAATAATTATGTAACTGCAACTGTCATAAATATTACTAAGGAAAAGTACTTGGTGCTATGACAGAGCATAGTGAGACCTCAGGAAAAGTTTACCAAGCAAATATAACATTTGTGCTGAAAGCAGAGGACCAGTTAATAGGAGCAATTTTCTGCTAGAACTGATAAACCCTTATCTGACCATCCGGCTAGAAGCCCCCAAACTCTCATCCCTGATACCTCAACAGGCTGGTGTTAATACCTCAGGTCACTTGCAGCTGCCTCCAGGCCTTGGGTGACAGCTATGGCTGTCAGAACTGAGCCCAGTAGAGGGAGAGAAACACATAAAACAGAGACTCCAAGCTGGACCTGCCCCTGGACCAATATTTCTGGTGCTATGTGCCGAGCGTTATGCAGAGGGATGGGAGATAAGATATGATATTGTAACAGCACCGGAAGGTACACAAGGGAGGAAGAGGAAGCTATGCCCCTCTCCCCCTAAGGAGGGGATAGTGTCTGAAGATGGGCAAGCCTTGGAGATGGAGAGAGAAAGCATCCTGACAGTAGAACGACATAAACAAAGCATGGAAAGCACTGGGTGTGCAACAACGGTAGCTGGAGCTCAGGATGAGGGATAGCAGAGAGCTGGCAGTGATGAACAATGGGCCTGAGTTGCTACCTTTAACTCAGAAAGTGAACAGATGACAACGCTGGTCTTCAAGGTGGTGTCTGGTGTCAAATCACAGCTCCCGCCCAGACTGGCCCTACGACCAAGAGCCCTAGGTTTTCTCCATTGGACTAGAGCAGCGTTTCTCAAACATCAGGGTCCTAAGGATCACCTGGGACAGGCTGCCAGGCCCCACCTCCAACTGGAAGATTCCAAGGGCTCCTCCAGCCCCAAGCTCCAGGCCCTGGATTCTGGGCCTCCCACAACACAGAGTCCAGGCCTGGGTGACCTTCCCTGACTATGGTGGGTGTTCCTGGTGAGCAGGGGACAGACCATGGATGCTGTGGGGAAGCAGGAATGGAGAGCTGTGGAGGGCTGGGCCCAGACTGTCTCCTAGTCTAGGGACACTCTCAAAAAGGTGAAAGTGAAGAGTAGCCAAGGGCCCAGGAGGAAAGGAAGGACATTCCGGGCAGACAGTACAGCTTGTAAATGTAAAGGCACATTCAGTACAGTTACGATCTCAGGTACATGTAGGTGAAGGATGAGAAGCAAAGTTGGAAGGGAGGTCCAGGCCCACAACACAGGTAGCCCTACCAAGGAACTAGGACTTGAGTCTGTAGGCAACAAAAAGCCACAGCAGACCCCTAAAGCCCGCAGGATCCTGGCAACGGCTCCCCTTAGTCACTTACTGGGCACAAATACATGGGACACTATTCTTGCCTCCCCACCACTCCCCACCACCACCAACAGTCTCCATCCTTTACGATCACCTACGATTCCTATCCAAAAATCAAACCTCAGATCCCCTCTGTGCAGCTACAGGTCAAAATGAGGCAAGCAATTTGACTACCAGAAGGCAATTAACACTAAGCCAGGATCCCAGTCTCTGACATGACAGGGAAAGGTTGGTCCAGCCTGCAACAAGTTGGCTAGCTAGCTCTGCTCTCCCCAGCTCTGCTCTTGCAGCTTTCTTTCTCTTGCTCCCTTGGAGGAATCAGCAACCCTAAATGAGTTCACGATCCTTGAGGGTGGGAAGGAAGGGGCGGGCGGGGGTGGCGGAAGAGATGGTTCACACTGGCTGGGTTTGAGGTTGACCAGTTCCCACTGAAATACCTTAAAAACCAGAAGAAATGTTGGGGCAACTTCAACAATTCACGCAGCCTCACTAAGAAAGGTTCTGTCCAATAGACTCTGCACAGGATGACTACTGGTGTCTTCAAATGACCTGCCTCATCCTCAAAAGTCAAAGACTAAGAGAATAAAAAGAGGTGCAGACTCTGAAGGTACTGCTGAATCTCGCAATGCTAGCAAAGAGGGGTGTGCTGATTCTCTCGAGGGGGCCGCAGTTAATGGGGAGGGGTGGAGTTCTGTTCAGGGTTGTCAAGTTAACACGGCGGCTCCACTCCTGCACCAGCTGAGTGCATGGGGCTCACGGACAATACTTTCAGTTGGCAGTGAAAGCACATTTCGGACGGGGGGTGGGAGGGAGGGGGCGCAGGGGCGGTGGTGGTGAGGAGTTAGGCTTCCAGAGGCGTTGGCAGTGGGCAGCGCAACGAAGGCACTCCCCTCACAACCCCTGGAACCTGGCCTGGCGCGCACACTGGCCGCCCTGGGGACGCGGTGGGCCAACCGCCCGGAGCCCCCAGCGGCGGCCCCGCTCACCTTGCACTTGAAGCCGGCGGCGGGCGGCAGCAGCTCCCGCAGCAGGCCTTGGCCACCTCGCGGCTGGCCTCCTCGCTCACGAAGTGCAGGTTAAGCACCTCATGCGCCTCGAACTTGGCAAGGCGCAGCAGGGAGCGCAGCGCGACGCGGGCCTTGGCCTGCAGCGCGGCGTTGTGCTCCGCCTTGGTGAACATCATCAGCAGGTGGTAGTCCACCGGCCCGGCCCCGCCGCCATCCAGGCTCTTGGCCTTGGCACCCAGGGCGGGCGCCACGGACCCGCGCGCCTGTTCCGGCACCGGCGGGGAGGGCGCCGCGGGGGCTCCGGCGCGGGCCTCCTTCAGCCTCTTGGTGGCGCTGGAGAAGGTCTCCCGGCCCGAGCCCAGGTAGTAGAAGGCACAGACGGCGAGCGCCGCGGCCAGCAACAGCGCGCAGTAATGGGAACGCACCGCGCCCAGGCGCGCCATGGCCCGAGCGCACGGGGGCCCGCCTCGGAGGATGCCCATGCGGCCAGGACCCGGCACCCAGCAGCCGGAGAGGAGCCCCGGAAACCCGTCGCCCGGCAGCCACTTAGCTGCACCGGCGGCGGGCGGCGGCCATGGCGGGGGCGGAGCTACCCTGCACTGAGCCAATCCGAGGGCGCTGATGCGCGGAGAGGCGTGGCCAGAGCTGCCCGGCAGCCGCTGGGTCCTAGGTTCAAAAGGATTGAACCCGGGATGACCCCGGGCAGTGTGATCTGAGCAGCGACTCCGGGGTGGAGAAAGCCAAAGGCCTGCACGAGCTGTGAAATCTTGACCTCTTAAGTGCTTAGCCACAGACGCTAGGATCGAAGCTGAGCCTTAAAAGGTCCCAACGCAGGACCTTCGGTTAGCAAAAAGACTTAAACTGCACGCACAAAGAGAAAATGTGTTATCTCTATACCCTTTCCTCCCTAATTTCTTTGAGGCCTTAAGGCTTAAGTTCTCTCCCGACTTCACTCACATCTTGGAGACCAACTGGAGCTGGGGAATTTAAACTAGCCATTTCCTTCCCCCATTCACGGTGAAGTAGGGTTGACACTTGTGGATAGAAAAAGCCTTTCACCCGACTTGTCATCTCTGAGGCGACCAGAGGCATCTAAAGAACGTGGCCAGCAGGGGGACCCCACTGCCCAAAACTTCGGAATAGATCAGAGAGCCCCAAAGGAATAATACCAGAGATTGTAATACCAATTCTTTTTTTTTTTTACTCTTTATTGTTGAAAGTATTACAGGTGTCCCCTTTTTCCGCCCATTGACCCCCTCCAGCCCGCCCCCGCCCCCCGCCCCAAGCCTTCACCACCCTATTGTCTGTGTCCATGGGTTATGCATATATGCATACAAGGTTTTTACTTCAACACTTAAAAAGCCATAATATGTACCGGGTAGTTTTGCAAATTCTAAACGAAGGCACATTGAGGTAAATTCTCCGAGGGCACACACACTAAGGTCCTTTTGAACCTAGGACCCATTGCCAGCTTTGCCCCGACAGTTGGAAACTGTCAACTATATAAAAACTCATTAACTTCAGTCTCTTAAGGACTGATGATACACCCTAGTGTGTAAGTACCTGGTAAACATGTACAAATGGCCTGTGTGCTTGAAGAGGTGGAGGTGAAAATACATGGAAAAACTCTCACCAGTCTATTGTGCCATGCCATTATTCCTCAAAGTGTGGTTCCCAGACCACAATTCATCTCATTTTTAACCCTTGTTCTTTTCAACCAGAGCAACACTTTTCTGAAAAACATTGGACCCCTGAAACAGGCTTGGCAGCAAATTCAATGCATACTACTCACCTTTTTTTAAAAGACAAAAAAAAAAAAAAAAAAAAAAAAAAAAAAAAAAACCCCAATAGCAGAATTAGCTCAGTTAAGTAACAGGTTCTTTGATTCGTGTAATCTTCACAACTCTGAGAGGTAATATTTGCACTTTACAATATAGGAAGCTGAGATTTAGACAAATAAATTACCCAAATCTAGTTGGCTAATGAGTAATGGAACCAGGACCCTAACCTGAGTCTCACTGCTTCCAAAGCTCAAGCTTTTAGCCAAGATTAGCACAGAAAGCAGTAATTTGAGCTCGGTATTGTGTGTATTGTACCACAATCTTCAGCAGATGACACTGTGGCTAAGAGAGCAAGCTCTCTTAAGAGCCTGTGAAAAGTAAGTTAAGAAGCTGGACTTCCACACTGGAAGACCACTGTGCCTCTACAAGCTGATAGACATCAAGCAAGTTACAAAATTTCTCTGAGCTGCAATTACACCCATATACAAAATGGGGTTAATACTGGTACCTATGCCTCATGGGGTTATGAGAGAAAATAGATTAAAAAGCAGAACTGTACCTAACAAATAGTTACTACTAACTGTAGTAAACAAATATAAAATATGCTAAGAAATGCAAGCTCTT